GAGAGAGAGAGAGAGAAATATCCACTTTATTTCTTTTATTGAAATAAGCAGATAACCTGATTACTGTCTTATGTTACAAAAACGGTGAGCGGATATTGCGTGTCAACGAGTAACAACGTCCTTATGCGCAATTAAATTTAATACTTCCTTGCGATGTACGTAATTATTTATTTCGCGTATGCGCATAAAAAACTAATGCACAAAGATTAATGATTTCCTGACTCGCTAAATTACCGTAAAAAAAATTCAGTATTTTTATTAAATTGTGATGTCCGCGTTATTGTTGAAATTGCGCGAAAAGAATTGTGTCTCTTGTGTAATTCATAATCGCGTCGCGCCGCATTTCAGCTTGTTCGTTTACAATGGCCGAACATTATTCCGGACCGCCCGGTGTGACGAGTGGCGTGAATTTATTTTCGGCGCCAGTTATTTCCGTCCAGGTCGGTACGAGAGAACGTGAGAGAACGTTAGAGAAGGAGTTCGCGAAGAGGACGCGCGTTAGAAATTTCGAGAAATTCTAGCTCCGATATTCTACTTCCCGCGTAAAATCCTAATTTATTGAGACGCGAAGGGAGAGCGCGAGTTTCCATAAACTCGCTAATTCACTATGAACTGGCCGCGTTCAAACAAGACGTAATTGCGCGAAAGACAGCAGCGAAAACTTTATTCCGTGCGAATTCACTCGATGAAGCCAGCTTTCCGGCGGGAAGTGACGTAACACGAACAATTACAACACTCTATGCAGTTCATGAAGATTCGTAAGCGCTCTGCATTTCTCACCGCGAGATTACTTCCTGTCCATTCCGCCGAGTACAATTTAAATGCAAATTTTTTGAAAGAGGGTTGGAACATGGTATTTTCATACTTGATTGCATGTTCGTTTAAATCTCGAGTTTTCCATCTAAACATAAAGACGCGTATCGTAATCGGCGATTACCGGTAAACGATTCTAGCGGCGAACGCAAATTGCAAATTAATCGACGAAAAACCATACGACGGCACGCAATTTCGATAATTTGACTTCGCCGCTATTACGCCGGTATATTATGCATGACGAGCAACTTTGTGTCGCGCCAATCCCCGCCAATTGCGCAAAAACTTGAACCCGATTTGCATCTTGCCAAGTTGTGCAAGAGACCGTTTCGGCGCGCATCGTGCGTGCGATGAGTCAACCGTATAATAATTTCGGCTTGCCGCGGTGTGCTTTTCTGCGCTCGCTAGATGAACCGAGAAGAGTCGCAGAGCGATAAATTCCAAAGTTTCAGACTCGTATAGCAATCTAGTGCCCGAACGCATTGATCCGCGCGTGAGAGACGACTAAAGGCAGCCTTCAGCCACCGAGTACGATAATTTTATTAAAACGAAATATTAAATATTTTCGTATATGAATAAAAGAAATTTTATTATCAAGCCCGCAGTGCGAACGCTCGTAAACGCAGTTAAATGCAATATTTAAATGCAGAAATCTTACTCACCAGTAGCTTGTTGTCCACAGTCTTGACGACGATCTCCTCGGGCGTGTACTGCGACACGTCGAAGCGCAGCTTCAACATCTTGTTGTCACCCTCGTCCTGGATGAGAGGACTGTTGAGGCCTTCCAGCCAGGTATGGTCATGGTGAGGACTCAAGGAACTGCTATTCTGAGTGCTCTGTTGCGTGGTGGTGCTGTAATTTAAAAAGGAAAACTTCGGTTATCGCCGATGATTATACACGCTCGTGTGTGAACAAAAATTCTAAATGAACAATGAAATGTCGAACACATTGATAACAGTGATATAGCGACGCTGGATGTCCGTGACACTAACGTGAAACCTGTTGGCCGTACTACAAGTAGGTGCGATAATCTGAAGCCTTACCCGTGGCGACAAGGTGACGGACGAAAAGTATAAACACACGCCAGAGGCTGACATTAATTAAAAGTCGTGCATTAATGGTGTTAACACTGAAAGTGCCGGCGCTTAAATGCCTAATATATTTCACGCGACAATTCCTGTTGCCGCTGAAAATGGGAGAAGCGAAAAAGGGTTTAAACTTTTAATGCAGTAGAAATTAAGATACACACATACATATATACTTAAAATTCTAATTAGTAATTAAAAACGTTCGCCTTGGCTTTGCTAGCGTTAATTAAAAATGTTATTCGAACGCAACATTATGGCCTGTGTGGAATCGTAAGGAACGTGAAGTGTGAATCGTGTCAAAAGGGCAACGATCTCCATCGTTCCCGAGTGCGAGGTCACAAAACGTGCGGATATTCGTCTTTTTTTTTTTCGTTGCACTCGCTCTCGCGCGATTACAACTGCGTTAACCCTTCGTAGAAAAAGGTGATGTAACGTTTTCTTATCACTTGCTGTATACATTTTGTTATTTATTACAATTTTCCAATTTTTCCAATACGCTAGCCTAATGCAATGAATAACTTAAATGAATACTAATGATTCGTTAACGTTTGAGAATAATTAAACGTATATATTCCAATGCAAAGTACTCGTTAAATATTTTTTTCTCTTCAGGTTCATCCTACAAAGGGTTACATGAGAAATAAACGGCACAGTGCAGGATGAACATTCCGTTTGGGAAACAATTTAAGGTGCGGATTAATTTACTAGCACCGTGCGCTATTTCAGCGCAAAGTGTCAATCTACTTGGTTCTTTGGCAAGCTTTACGAAGTTAATGAAAAAGTGCGCGCCTTTGCGATGACATTTTTTCCGATCCTATTAATTGGTCGTCTCTACGTCGACCGACTCGTGCTTTTCTGTTCGTTCTTTTTTTTTTTTCTCTACGATAGCGTCACCTTTTGAAGCTGTCGAACGCGGATTGCTTCGACGGTGCTGCAGGGTCGATCTTGTCCCAACCTTCGGTCTTCGAGGTCGTCGATGTGCGATGCTCGCTGCTGCTCGTGTGATGCCGACTTCATGGTTAGTCACCAACGTGCCAATGCAGAGAGCCATTCGGTAGTCGAGCGCAGGAAGAGGGGTTATTGTTATTATTATTATCGGTTAACTCTAGTGGTTGCAAAGATTTCATCCAGATTTATTGTTAATCCGCGCCATCGCGTTAACTTCTGCTCCTGTGTTTCTTGGCGGTACAATCGCTCTGCACATGCGATTCATCTCTGTTTCTTATAATTTCTGGATTTTTTTTTTAATTCTTCTGATACCAACGGTAAATAATTTCTTTTGCTATTTGTTATTTTCTCTAACAAACGCCGATTCTTTTTCGATTAATAACAAACTGTCCAAAATCCATTTACGAGTTCATTATTCATTTCGTTACGTCTACTTTTGTTCTTATCGTCAAGAAAGCAAATGTTTCAGTTGCTATTGATTGTGCTTGTGAAATTGTCGGTGTCATTGCACTAACAATCTCCAATCACAACTTTTAGCAAAATAATATCGCTTCAAACTAAACATCACGTTATGTATTATATTAATAAATTAACATTGAGCTGTATTTTTAATTATGAAGCGTCTTCAATCATCTGAGCAATAAGTTTATTTACGCCAAGAAACAATCAGTGAGCGATGTTTCAAGCAAGATCACTTGACTAAAACTGTCATATCTTTATTTTTCTTTAATTTATTGTTGTTTTTTTTTTGTAATCTTAACACTTTTATTTCAGTTCAAAAAGTTGGACTGCTGAAAACATATTCTTATAAAATTTATAATCTTTTATCGTATCTTTACGTCCGCATCTTAAAATTTGGCAAATTGTAAAATTAAAGGTGAAAATAAATTATATAAATTAAGCGCTAAACTTTTCCTTAATCGATATCTAATCGCGTATATATTGGCGCAAATAATATAACACCCCTAAATCTAAATTATCTTCAAAGGCTGGAGAATCCGCTTCAAACAATAACGATACAAGAAGCAATAAGACAATCGACACACGTCAACACGCAGCAAATTAACCATAAAAGCTACGTGCAAATTATTTGCACAAATAAATTAATTAATAAGCGCACTCGACAAATATATATTCTTTCTAAATTCATAAAAATTCTTCGCACGGCTAAATAAAAGTTTTCAGATCGGTACCTGGGTTTATCTAGGTGAACCTTTCTCCAACGGAGAGCGACACTAATTATTGCCGATAATCTATGTTAAACTTATTAACGGCTCGGAGGGGTTTCGCGACTGATCTATCATGTGTTTATCTCCGTGCTGATAAAAATAAGACTATTTGTAGCTACATGCGAAATGATATCGCTTCAAATATCACAATGTCGATAACCGGCAAATCTTACTTCGTCTTCGTGGAAGCCATCGATCCACCACTATAAAGAATACGTCATCATGTCGTCATTGTCGCGCTTGCCGCGAGGATGATTACATATAAAACCGTTCTAAATTTATTTTTTTGACCTTCCGAATAAAATATTTTATTTTACTAGATGTGAAAATTGTCTTTGAAAAAGAAAACACAATCCGGCGGGAGTAAACGTTCCAAAGGATTGTAACACCGCGCATGACATTTGTAAAGTTTCGTGATGGCCGAATAAATTCTGTGACAGCGGAACGATTCTAAGAACAAAATGTCACTGTATCCCATCACGCGACATAACGTGTTTAACAGCAGTAACTGCTGTTTTCCGTTTTCACTGTACGAAGAAGTCTATTATTATCGAATAATGAGACAATAAATATATTTTTCTATCAGGTTTTACGAGACTTTCCGACAAATCTGTTGTCGGGAACAGAAATGCATTATATAATTTATATGCTTTTTTTCTCGGAAAATCAAAACATACACAGACTTAATCGAATCCATTCTGCAAATGTTTAAATATCACGAGATCTCCGCTAGCAGGAAGCGCGAAAGTGTTAAAGTAAAACCGCAGAAAAGTTACGTGAGAAAGAATGGTAGAATGCGGCAGAGAATAATTATGCCAGACAAGAGAAAGGTCTCGGATCTTGTCTCGTGCAATCGAGGGAGGTCAGGCATAACGAGCAGGTTCTTACAAAACGTGGCTCGTCGGAGTGAAAAGGGCAAACAAAACGTGAATAATGGCGAAGCAACTTTAAATGCTATCATCGCGTTATTATATTATATAATTTGTTCACACGATTGTACCATCGATTTCATTGTCAATCGAATTGTAACGTGTAAAAATCTGATTTATAAAATAACCAAGGAATGTGATTAAAAATAATTTTTCAACTCTATTAAATTTTCACGGAAATTGAAACATTTTGTAAAACGTATAAAAAAAAAATATTAAGATGCTTGCTCGGCAAATGATGAGAAAGATAATCACTTGCGTCATCTACACCGCGAATCGTGTCTAATTAATTGATTCTATCAAATGAGATAATCGAGCGAGTTTCAGCGGAACCACATTTAGCAATTACGCGATGAACGGCTGAGAGTCTACGAATCATTCAACTCACAGTCACACATAGCCCGACATTGTGAAACAGTAAGACGATACGCAATACTCTGAAACAATGGCGCGTGCATGTGAGAGTGAATTAAGGTGAATCTCCCTTTGGCACGCATGCATCGTGTTACTCGAGCCTTCGAAAGGCCATAACTACCGACGGTACGTCAATCGTCCGCGGAGGTTCAAGCATGAAGTTTAGCATAGTTCGCCAAAGTCAACTAACATGCTATTGCCCTGCCTACAAGAGGTAATTTCCTGTTGCTCGAATCTTGACACGCTGTCTAAAGATCCGCCCGTCTATCCGAAGGCATCACAAACTTGTCGGATCTGTCAAACCTTTGTTATTATTCATATCGCAACGATGAGTTCTCACTGTAAGTTTTCTACTGTAAAATGGGAAATTTACACGAAAGATACTTGCTATTGAAATGTAATTCGACGAATGTATTTATCGACTTGATATAAAACCGTTTCTCGACGCTTCAATCATTTAGCATTTAGTGATTAATGACGCTAAATCACAAAATAATTTTGCAATTCTAAATTAATGCGCAGACTTGAAATGTATAAGCCGATTGTACGCAGAAAAGTTGAATTCAAGCGGCAATAGAAAAAAAAAGTTAAGTGCGTGAAGAGTCGACAGCTATATATCTTGCTAGACAGGTTCACAGTCCACGTGTAAAAAAAAAAGGTTTGCGCTGAAGACTCGCCGACACTCTGCACGATGTGCCATACACACTTGTCTATTTGCAGTAACTGTCCCTGAACGCGAGCATTACGTCAAGCACACATGATTATTCGGACTTCGTAATGGACCATACTTCCCACAAGCGATTCATCAAGAATACACGATCAATATCGAGCACTTGTTTGCCACGACGCATATTTATAGACGTGTTAGAATCCGTACGCTAATGGCGATGACGCATGTTTCTTCGACTCGCGTGTTTTCGAATTATATATATATAATTTAAAAAATCACGACGACGGAAGATGATATTTGATTAACTGATCGGTTAATTCGGATTGCGGAATGTATCGGATGCGAATTATCGCCAACGTACCGGAATTGGAGCACTGTTTTATGCCTGGGTGGATAGAGATCCTCGTCCAGGATCATCGCGGATCGTCCCGGTGATCCTTGCCGGCGGGGAGGAACCAAACTCGACTGTTCACGACCGAGCGCGCCGCGCTTTGAAACGCGGTAGCGATGCAGTAGCCGCGATGTCGCAAAAATTACTGCGTAAAATCGCTTGCAGGATCCCTGCAAGCTCCTCACCTTTCCTACACCACGATTTAGTGCTTGATTCCAGTGCTCCTGTAGTGGGGAAACTATCCGCGATGGTACACCAATGTCAAGGTGACGTAATAACGTGATGCTAAAGTTATATATTTTTCAGCACAGATGTTAATCTCGTCTCGAAAAATAGATCGGGAAAGTGACGTTAATCCGATATCCGATATGTAAATAACGCCTTCGATTTCAAGAAATGCGATTTCTAAGACAATATTTTTCCAAAAGATGAGTAAAATGTCTAAAGTGTGTTAATTATTTCGAAATAAGAATCGCGAAATTAAAGAACGGGAATTTTATCGTTATAATTTCTTCTTATCATGTTTTTATCTGATTTCTTCAAGTAAATATTTTGAAATAACCGTAATGTTGCATCCAGCAGGTGCAATCGTATGTTCTCATCGGTGCGTCACCAAACTGCAGTGAACGCGTCCGTTGTGTGCATCCAACGAGACGCATCCAACGTAATTGCGTAATAGATACCGATTGTTATTCCGCGAGCAGCACGTATAGCCACATTTCCCACAAGAATGCGCGTAAAATATGCGGAGTTTAACACGAATATTATTATGTAACAAAACAATTAAATCCCCATGCCATTAAACTGCCATGTAAAATTTCAATTTCAGTCGCGTTGGACCGCCGACCGTAAAAACAGCTTGTAGAAAACAAACAATCGCAATGTAAAATCTAAGTATGCCAAACGGTTTTGTTTTATATTTTAATTAAAGTTTTATATTTTAATGAAAAAAATGTTGCAAGGTGTGCGTAAGAAACGCGTAAAAGGAACGCGTAAAAGATGAAGAGGATTCAAAAGCACAAATAACCGCATAAGATTACTTGTACGCTTTCGATATATGCAAATACTGTTATTGTAAAAATTATGCAATTTTAGTAACGAAGCAGCCGCCTTAGTTTGTATGCAAATTTCCAGCGTGTATACGCCCCGAGATTATCCGCTTCGCTCCCCGTGGCGTACGCGCGGTTGAGACGCCAAAGGGGGCTTCTGGTCTGCGAATGCAGTGACGGAATCTCTATAAATAGCAGGTACGATACTGAAATGCACGAAACGACTGTATCGATACAAAAATGCTGAGCTAATCTGCGAATCGCTGAAGCATTTCAATCGCGTTATTGAAAAATCTACACAAACTTCGTTTTTGCGAACGCACTTTGCGAATGACATTTCCACGTCAACAAGAAACCGTTCGGCTATTAATCTTTTTAATGTACTGTAATGTGATGACATTTACTGCTAGCACACCTGATAAGATTAGAATACACATTTCAATTTTCAATAAGGTAACGACAACGTAAATTAATTACGCAAATCATCGACTTGTGATATCTTTTAAAATTGTATGCAGATAATATTGTATCAGCTTTTCTTATCTATTAATTTATCTTGTATTTTAACGTGTCAGAAGTATCATCAAAGTACTTTAATATATTTATTACAATAATGCTTGAGAAATAAATTATGATTGAACATTGCGTTTACATGATAAACACATGCGATCGATCAGTCGACGAATAATTTTTTCAATCAACTGACGAAACTATAAAATATCAGCGATCGAGAGATTCATGAATTTTTATTATGTAAAACAATGTATTTTCAGATATATTGCAAATCAATGCCTAACCTGTGATTGATCGTCGTTAAGTCAACGATGTTCGATCGCCAGTAATTTCAATGCTGGACAATGCATCACGTCGCGCGAGCGAAGAAAAATGATGCTTTTAAAATACGTGAGAGATAAAGCCTGTCGCATTATAGATACAACCAGTGCGAAAATAATAAAATATTCAACATATAAAAATAACGAAATAAAGATCCCTTTTTCAACGTTCTCTCTGATCTCACACTTCGCAGCTACGACAAATGGCATTATGTTGTTTTACAGAAAGATCAATACTTTCAATGCCGACTGTATTACTAATTACGACATAAATCAACTTTTATCGATTTCTCTCTGCAACGTACACAAAAGCGCAATAAGTTTCTTTGCGCAAAAATTTCTGAAAGGATCGCATTGATGTTTTGCTACGCAATACGCTAACAGTATTGGCATCCCGCGCGTAAACATGCACATAAGTTCGACTTCGCGGAAGTAGATATAAACAAAACAAATATTCAATGCTTTCGAATTAAACCGTAACACGTTTGAAGAAAAATCCTCGACAACGAGTAAAATGTTACGCATATAGTGAAATTTATCGTAGAGCAACGCGTGAGAACGTATGAGAAATATAACCGGCGTTATGGCCGGAAAAGAGGTTATGCGTTTCGCGAGAGAACTCGGATCTCTAATGTACCTGGTGGTGCTCTTGAAGAAGTTGTTGCTCTCGCGGTTCATCAATTCGCTGCGAAACCGCGACATCTCGTCCTCCATCTTTTTCATCTCGGCGTCGAAGCGCTCGCGTATATTAGAGAATTCGGTGTCGATCACGCTGAAATCACCGAGCTTGATGGGAATGTTACGCTTGATACCACTGTCGGCCATGTTTTCGCCCGAGTTAAACACTATGTGTCTCTTATCACTGTATCACTTAACGAGGGTTCGTGCTCGTCAAACACGATTCGATCGCGAAAAAATACGTTGGACGTCGCACACGTATATCTACTCGTATCTCGTCTCGCCTAAGGAATGAGCGCGGCTCGCCGGCTACCCCTTAAATAGCCGGTGAAACCTCGTAGGAGTTCGGCCACGTTCGTGCGTGCTCGGCGCCGTGCTCGATTTGCCTCGTGACTACGCCACGCGGTCGGTCGCGAAGTTTGACATGCTCTCATTGACGACTCTAAATTTAATTAAGTATTAATCGCTGAAAATGAGAGTACTATTAACGAAAAATTAGATAGAAGCCGAGATGAGATGGACGGAGAAGTATCGCCGCAGCGTTCCGCGTAAGATGAAAAAGCGCACTTCGGTATTTTGTCAGTTATAGATGCCGCCACTTTGAATCACTATACTTTGTTTTTCAAAAAAATAAGCACTTATTTGAAATTATTTAGAAGGGTTTGAAAATATTTAATTGACACATTGTCGCGTATTAATGATATTCGCGAATATATGTTGGCTATCTTTCTGAGAAAAGAAAAAAAACAGCAAACCTTATGTATACGTTATCAAGTTTAAAAGACTTGAATTGTTTTTCGTTAAAAATTTTCTCATAAGATGAACGTATCAACTTTCCGACACATTGTGGTCGGATTAATTTTTGTATTAAAACAAATTATTCCATCACGTGAAAACGGAACGTAAAATTTGTTCATATAAAGATTGCGCGTAGGCGAGATGTGATGTCGAAAATGATACAAAACGAATCATCCACAATAGAGCATGACTAATAAACTCGTGTGATCGTTTCCTTATAAATAACCTCCGCAATCGAACAATCTAGTAAGTTCACACGCACGCATTTCGAGAACTATCTGTACTTATAGATATAAAAGAAAGACAAAATTAAGTTTACAGGTGCAAAAGTAATGTTTTCGATTTGTACGACAGTTTTTATCATTTTTTTAAAAAGATCTGTAGTGTATTTGAAATAATTTGTCATGTTTTATGTAGAAGAATAAATATTCATACTGGAAAGTATGAAAACAAGAGTGATTGAAATGACGTAAGATGTTCAATGAGTTGTAATGACGGATAATACGATTTTTACGGTATTAATTGATTAATTAGGCTGCATGCTAAATTAAAAGGTCTCTTTAAAGTCAATAACGCTCGTCAGAAAATTAACGAGACATCATTTGACGTGAATCTATTCATAAAAATCTATGATCGTCATCAAAGTGAATTTTAATCAATGACAAAAACAATTTTCTAAGGACAATATTGTCGAAATTTCTTATAGAAAAATTACCGTTATTTGATAAATTAATGCATCGTTATCAACGGATATAAATAAATAATCATTTGATTATCAATCTACGATAATCATTTTGCAATGCTTATATCAGACAAATAAAATCTGCAATCAATTAAAGATATGATTACGAACTAATTATACCTTTTAACGTCAACAGAGGCGTGAGATTCGAAACGCATTCTTTCTGTATTGCGTCTGTCGAAAATTGGAAATCGCATCAGTGTGCCGACACGTTGAAAGAATGTTTACGTCGTCACCAGAGAATTCTTTTACGGTATCGAGACTAGCAAGAGTCGCGTATGACGCCGACACTAATTTCGGCGCTTTGCGTCGTCACGAGCTGTCTTCGACTGAATGGAATGGCACGTCACTACGCCCCCTCATTCCTTATATACGTACACATTCACCCTCGTCAAGGATACACTCCCACAAATCGAAGCATCGGAAAGCCTCTTCACGTGAAGATTGGCTGAATGAGAGGAAAAATCGGTCAAACAGAGATGCATTTATTAACCCTAAACTTGGCGAAAAACAGGGGAGGTTAAATTAAAATTGTGATGAATGATCTCCATAATCTGTAATAAAAAATATAAAATAGATAATAAATATGTCAGAAAATTATTTCTAGAATACCGCAATTTTTATTTGCAACAATAATAAAGTATGAATAACTAGAGTTGCATCAATAAAAACCAAATTAAATAAATTTGTTTCGACAAAAACTCGTTTTTCTTTTCGGTATTAAAAAATTCACCTACGACACAGCAACAAAAAAAAAATTTAATCAATGCCAGATAGAATTGAACGAATCTGAATTTCATAGAATTGTTAGCTGAACGCCATTTCAAACCCTAAACATTCTACTCATCGTCCATTGCACAAAGTGAAATGTTTACTGCAATACAGTGTCGCATTGTAAAATGTATGCAGTAATAAAAGGACAAAAGGCACGATCAAGGAGATCATCGAGGTTGACGCCAAAGTGTGTCAATGTCGATGCGCTCGTGTCTCCAGACAGTAAGTACGACGAGATTCTTTACGGAGAGACTGGACTTCCTCTCTCGTTTCGGAAACGTAGACAGCCGTCACTATGTGTGGGGGAACTTGACTAGTGTGACGTCATTCTCATGGAGGTTCGCCGATCGATAAAAGGCGTCACAACAATTCCTAATATGGATCGAAAATAAGATTGCTGCAGATCGCACTTTTCGATCAGTCTTTTCTGTAATTGTGTAGGATGTGCATAAATCATAAAAATTGCGTCACACACGAAAATACTAGGATTTGTAATCGCGCTTCAAATCTCATTATTGTTAGTAGGCATAAAAAATAATTCTTATATCTTAAAAACCATAATTATTTCTTTCAGAATATTTCTTTTTTCCTCTTTTCTGTCTGTTTGGTTTTAATTTTAACTTTTCATCTTCTCTATTTTTGATTTTAATAAAGCTGTATTTCTCTGACTTGCATACTTTTACGTATTCTGATTGATAACACTGCATACTGTATGCAACCGCTATATGAAGTTTGGAGGAAAAGTGAACCAAATCCTTTTTTAAATCCATGTATAAATTAGAAAAAACTGAACAGTTTTCACTGAATGATTTAAAAGTGAGTGCAAATGTTTAAATTAAAATTAAAAGAGATTATAGTACCTGTAAAAAACAGTGTACATGTTGCACACAATTAGAACAACTTTAACTTTAAAACTAATTTTGTAATAATTAACAAAATGGACTTGATTCACTTTTCTTCAAATGTAACTAAAAACAGCAGGATTATATAATGTCTACACATCGTGTCTTCGACATATTAAACCGGCGAGTGTCACGTTTCGCTTGTAAATTTGCATAAAAGTCGTCAAAAATATATCAGTTTAAAATATTGCTTTTCGTAATTAAACAAAAACAAATTTTTTAAATCTACGTTGCGTGTCTTAGCATCACTCAATGCCAATAAAAAGAAAATGACATTTTAAAGCGGAACTTGTACATGGATCTGATGATACGATGTCACGGCTGAACGACATCACGGCACGTTAACCTCAAGCCTCATTCGTATTGGTTTGTAATGAAATTTATTGTGACCGAGATGACGATCTGTCATAAATCATGCCACTTACTACGTTCGTATATTATTAAAATAAAATATAATTAATTATATAAATAATTTAATAATAATTAATTATATAAATAATTATATCAATAAAATATAATTAAAATTTCAAAAAAATTGTTATACGCTTATTTAAAAAATACGATAAAAACAAATTGTAAGAACAAAGTTAATACACTGATCGATATTCTAGCACGGTAAAATACTATGCAAACACATATATCATATTTCATATTCTCGATTTTGCACAAGAGGGCGGAAGATCCGAACAACCAATCTATTCCTCATTGTATCCTCGACATTGAATCACGAGGGAACGGTCGACAGAATCGAACGATCCGAGAATTCCTTTAAATTTGGCCTCGGATACTATGACTGTCTCGAATTTTGTCAGCTAATAATAGCTTGGTAGCGCATACCGAAGAGCTACTATCTTTTCGACGACGTCAGAGTTTGCTTGTTTTCCTCAGCTAAGCGCATACCATGCTATGAATAATTGTCCAATCTCTCATAAATGCAGCCCGATAGTTTCGAAACATGAGACGCGAAGAGAGAATTTTAGTTTAGCAGCAAAAATATCGCGAATGAGGAATGTAATCTACTGAGAAATGTTATAATATACATTAAAAATGTAATTTTATAAAATATAAATTTTTCTCTGTCAATACGTGCGACGTTAATAAGATGTACTGCTGAATACATCGTGTTACTATTATATATATATTTAATTTCCGAATTCTACTATCCTAATGCTCAGTCTGTATATCAACGTCGATTACCAATGTCACTGCTACGAATAGATTTGTACGTAACGCGATGACAAGTGGCCGTGAATAAAAAATCGATTGTGCAAGTACTACTAAAGAAAAATCTGAGAGCAATTATTACTGGCGTCTTTCGTGGAATGCTTACTGATCAATATTCAATACTGTTATCTACATTTATTATAGAATTAGAATTACATTACCGCATCTATTTTGCAACACTGCTGTCTGTATATCCGTATTACATATACAAAGTGTTGTTTAAAAATTACACAATACAATACAGCAAAATAATTCCAAAATGGATTTTTAAAATAAAAGCAGATAGCGCTAGTATTCAGTAGCAGTCAGTGAATATTCCGCAAAATACGCCATTTGAAAAACACTGAAAATCAGCGTCTTATCTCTGGTGCCATCCATTCATTTTCCTTGCATATTTCGTGATACATTATGCATCAATTATTTGTATACATAAAATACAATTCAATGCTTTTTATATTACGGCAAAGAATACGCAGACAAATAGACATATATACATATATATGTTTAATAAAAATTATATATATTATATATTATATTAAGTGTATAATTATATAATATACTTGGTAATTAAATTAATGTTTATTTCGTTGAAATCAATATTAAATAATAATAATAAAGGTAATATTATTTAAATTATAGTTTACAATAAATACACAAAAAGTGAAATAATTTTAATAACAATATAATTTTGTAATAAAATAATTTTGGAATAATTAAAACTTGTCATAATATTTCGTAGATATCTGTAACTAGGTAACTATATTTTCGCTGTTATCGTTTCAGCTTGTTTCGACTATCAGCTTCTTATTTTTGCCGTCACATTTGACGGGGGCATTAGTGCTTGTATCGACCAGTGATGTCGACATATGAAATTAGATGTTACAAACATGAGGAATAATAGCAAAAATGTGAAAAATAAGGGATGTGAGACGAAGAAAGACAATGAAAAGCACTGTGAGAAGAAATTTGATAAAAAGAAGTACAGATTACAAAAGTACAGCAATAAATATAAAAGTATGTATACATATGGCATAAGCATTAAATATAGGTTAAGTTTAAACATTTGTTCTACATGTGTTTGTCTCCTTGCACGCTAGTTAATCAATGGGAAGAAAGGAGGAAAAAAGCTGTGTTACGTGAATTTTACAAGGAAGTCCAGAAAGATCAACGGAATTCAGCACAAGATTCATTAAATTTAAGTAATACATCCAAAGAAAGTGAGATAACAAGGTAGGTAAACTGTGGAAAATCAATGAAAAGTATTTAACATATAAATTCTAACATTGATTAAATCTGTTTTGTAAATAGCAAATCGAAAAAGAAGGGATATGCCTTTTACAAAGCTAAGCAAGAGTATAAACGTAAACTTGACGAGAAGAAGACAAAAATAGAAGATGCCAATCGCAGAAAAGAAGAACGAGAAGAAGCTTTGAAAAAATATAAGGAGAAAAAAATACGTAATTTCAAGGTGCTATCGAAAAAGACGAAAAAAGGACAACCTGTTATGAAGGGCAGAGTAGAAATGCTGTTAGAAAAGATACAGCAAAGTTTAGCATAATTTATAATTTTTTTAGGGAGAATAATGTTATTTTATCTCATAGACTGTGATTTAGTCATAATGAGTCAAAAGATAAAAGCGCATTGTACATTGTAACATAAATGTTATCCAGAAAAACAATGAATTGTCAAAAAATTTTGTATGAAATATACACAACATAAAAATATATAGAATATCACAGATTGTGGCTAGTTTCTTCAAACCTTATTAAATTTTTACAACAAATAATTGACTCCAAATTTATTGAAGAATATGCTTGAATTTTGAGAAAAATATAAGAATAAACTTACTAAAATATTTTTAACAAAAAAATTGAGATAAAGACAAAATAATATTCATTAAGCCCTCTTATTTTTTTTAGTTACTCGCAAATAACAAAAATACAAACTATTTGATATTGTAAAATCGCCATTTTTCCAATTTGTGATATTTATAATTCAACAAGTGTCTGCGATTTTCACTCTAATACTTCGCACAATATTTTTCATGTTATTATTTTATCTGATTATTACCTGGAATACAGAGAGCTGTTTCGCATAGTCAGTCACCTAATCTCAATGAAATGGAACGAAAAACCATCGAATTCTTGAATTAAAACTCAAGCCACCGCCGAATTTATCACCGCCATCGGACCGTGTTCGTGGTCAATCGACTGCGAACTCAATTGAGATACTAATTTTCTAATCTTGATCGCGATAAATTAAAAAAGATTTAGAGTTTTTACGTCTTATAACAATTTTATAAATTAAATTGCAATTTTTACGTTTATACATCAAGTTTAAAATAAAAAACCTAAGAGATTTGAAAAAACAGATTTGTTTATACCTCAATTGTGTTGAGCAATGTGAAAAATGTCCATTTCCGGTTTCTTCTAACAAATTTCAGAAGCATTCCTTCCGTCCGGCGGTGACGAGTGCCACTTTATGAAACGAGCTTTTCGGCTCTTTTCAATACGGCAAACTTTTTGTAAACATTTTAATTACAATGTATTCACGGATGGATGGAAACGCTGTGATTGACCGGCGTGCCCTTTCGTAACGATCAATCGACCGCCACGATGCGGTCGAAATGAGAAACTCCACGCGCTAGCGTGGATCACGCGTGCGCGCTGGCATTTTGACGGATAGCTAGTCCGTAAGTCCGTCAGAGCTAGTCGACGGTTGCAAATGGCGACAGCCACGAAGTCTCTGACACGGGCTCGCGAATAGTTCCACGCCTACCGTGCGCCCCGCGACCGAGCCGTGCGCGAACGCAACCCTAGCCCAGATTGGTACGTACCTAAAGAAATTCGGTGGAAGCGTCGCGATCTGACAGATTGACACGTAAAATCCGGCGGAGGCGATCTCTGTGCCGCGCGACAACTCGCGTGAAGACGAAAATGCATCCGTTCGATCCGTCTCTCCTCTTCGAAACGCTTCGTTTCCCCGATCGATCGATATGCTACGATATGTCGCGCGGTTTCACACCGTTAAATCAACCTTCGTCGATCCCGACGATCGCATACATTCCGCACTGGCCGCGAAAGAACCGCTCCGTGTGCATGCCGCTGTCAAAATTTCGTCATTGGAATTCAGTGCAGATCGCGCCGGCTCCGATCCTTCGACGTCTTTTCGTGCCACGCGACGTTCAACGCTGTCGATGAGCTAATCACAATCATGACGGTCAATTGTAGCTTCTGCTTCAACGTAAACGCTGAGTGCCTCGATAGCCGCACTTTATTCTCGAGCGCCGTGTGGATAACACATTGCGATAGTACGTCTCTGGAAAAAAAAAAAAGAAAAGAAGAAAAATAGTTTTATGATTGTAAAATGAAACATAGGAATGCAATAAGAACGGCCTCCGTTAATTTGTTACATCATTATCATTTCTTAGTTTAGTGCGCGAAACAAATATCAATTATAGTATATTTGCATTGGAGCGTGCCTCTCATTACTCATACCTCAAATTGGAGGGGTATAAACGTTTGAGTATCTCTTTATAACTTGATTTCATTCACAGGTAGTTTTAAACAAAACAACGCAAAATGCCGGCCGTCAGAGGAGATGGTATGCGTGGATTGGCGGTTTTCATATCGGATATCAGGAATTGTAAGTAATATTGTGTGACAGTATTTTGTATTTTTATTGTAATATCTAGATATTCGGTTGTGTAACATCAACATGATAAACTATTCTTTTTGCATTGAATGTATTGGCCCTGTATTTCGAATTAAAAATGACATTTCATTCATCAAGTGATAATGTGCCATTGAAACAGAAATGGTATGCAAAGTGTTTTAACGCTGAGAGGAGTAGAAGAAAGGGGGCGGAGTTCTGATATAAGCCTATCTTCCTGATAGAGCTTGACTCTCAAACACCAATCTGTGACACATTGGCATCATTACAGATCATGATGAATTTATTAAAAATAAATGCAAACTTTCCTAAGAGATATTTATAAAATAAAAAAAACATGTATATAATTATAGCTCTATATTTCTATTTTTATTTATTCACAATTGTGCCTAAATTTTGATTTTATGTTTGTATATATATGCTAATATAAATTAGTAAAAATACTACAAATAAAAATACTACAAATAAAAATACTACAAATACAATATAAATAAAAGAAAGATTGTTCTGAATTGTAAACCAATTGGCATATTGTCATTATTTTTTATATAAAATATTTCTATTAATTTATTATTTTTTATCAATATATTTATGTAAAAATATAAATAAATATATTATACACAGGGAATAATTTTTATTATTTTAATGTATATTTTTTATTTTACAATTTTAAAAGATATACACACATTTATTAGTAATATTAGTAATATTGTAATAATTTTATAAGAAAATGGTGATTTTTCCTTTTTTTAAATAATATATTAATATTGTTAGGCAAAAGTAAAGAGGCTGAAATCAAGAGAATTAATAAGGAACTAGCAAACATTCGCAGTAAATTTAAAGGAGATAAGACACTCGATGGATACCAGAAAAAGAAATATGTCTGCAAGCTGCTGTTCATTTTCCTTCTTGGCCATGACATTGACTTTGGGCACATGGAAGCTGTCAATTTACTTTCATCAAACAAATATTCCGAAAAACAAATTGTAAGTACAACCACTTCAACTCATCCATAGTGCGTATAATACAAAATTACATGTTATTATGTCAATTCTAGGGTTATCTTTTCATATCGGTCTTAGTGAACACCAACAGTGATCTGATCAAGTTAATCATACAAAGCATAAAGAATGATCTCGCATCGCGTAATCCAATTCACGTCAACTTGGCATTACAATGCATTGCTAATATTGGTAGCAAGGAAATGGCAGAAGCTTTTGGGAATGAAATCCCCAAATTACTTGTCTCAGGGTACGGCGTGATATAATTTATTGATACATAATATTTACATTAGCCATGCCGATAGCTTATGTATCAGATATATCAAATTTTTGTTTTATTTCAAAATTTCATTTCAATATTCGTTCTTCAGAGATACTATGGACGTGGTGAAACAGAGTGCTGCGTTATGCCTGTTACGACTACTACGGACCGCTCCTGATGTTGTACCTGGCGGTGAATGGACATCGCGCATTGTTCATCTGTTAAATGATCAACATCTGGGCGTTGTAACGGCCGCGGCGTCGCTTATAGATGCTCTTGTAAAAAGGAATCCTGACGAATACAAAGGCTGCGTTAGCCTCGCAGTTTCGAGATTAAGTAGAGTAAGTTTGCGAAATTTTGATTAATCGTATAGGAATGAAAAACATTATATTTGACATTTCTTTTACGATTGTAGATTGTCACATCAAGTTACACAGATTTGCAGGATTATACATATTATTTTGTTCCGGCCCCATGGTTGTCTGTCAAGTTGCTACGCTTGTTGCAAAACTATACGCCACCAGGTATTTGATTTACGTCTAGAATACGTGATATTTGGAAACACAGCGCGCAGTTGAATAATATATAATATTTACATTTATATTACTTTGACAGCTGAAGATCCAGGTGTAAGGGGCAGATTAAACGAATGTCTAGAGACGATATTGAATAAAGCTCAAGAACCACCAAAGTCAAAGAAGGTCCAGCATTCGAACGCAAAAAATGCTGTACTCTTTGAAGCCATTAGTTTAATTATTCATAACGATAGTGAGCCAAATCTTCTAGTACGGGCATGCAACCAACTCGGTCAATTTTTATCGAACCGCGAGACTAATTTGCGATATCTCGCACTTGAATCTATGTGTCATTTGGCTACTTCGGAATTCTCACACGAAGCTGTAAAGAAACACCAGGAAGTGGTTATTCTGTCGATGAAGATGGAAAAGGATGTTTCCGTGAGACAGCAAGCGGTAGATCTGTTGTACGCTATGTGTGATAAAAGCAATGCCGAGGAGATAGTGCAGGAAATGTTGAATTATCTGGAAACGGCCGATTACTCGATTAGAGAAGAGATGGTTCTTAAGGTAGCGATTCTAGCCGAGAAGTACGCGACTGACTACACTTGGTATGTCGATGTTATTCTGAATCTAATCAGGATAGCGGGTGATTACGTCTCCGAGGAAGTTTGGTATCGAGTTATCCAAATCGTTATTAATCGAGATGATGTCCAGGGTTATGCTGCGAAGACCGTATTTGAGGTAAAATATATCATTCTTTTTTTCTTCATTTCTTACTTTTCTCATCACTTTATTCTTGCTTAGGCATTACAAGCGCCCGCTTGTCACGAAAACATGGTTAAAGTTGGCGGTTACATACTTGGAGAGTTCGGCAATCTTATCGCTGGTGACCAACGATCCTCCCCAGCTGTCCAGTTTCAACTGTTACATTCCAAAGTAAACATTTATCCATTCACGTTTCTATTATTATCGCTAGTAACGTGTATGCAATTAATTGATGTATTATTTTTTACAGTATCATTTGTGCTCTCCTATGACTCGAGCATTGCTGCTTTCAACATACATAAAATTTGTCAATCTATTCCCTGAAATTCGAAGTCAGATACAGGATGTCTTCAGGCAGCATAGTAATCTACGTAGCGCGGATGCTGAATTGCAGCAGAGAGCGTCGGAGTATTTACAATTGAGCATCATTGCCTCAACTGATGTCCTGGTACTTAACATATAATGATCGAAAAAGATGAGAGATTACATTCAATTGCGACATCTGAGATATCTGTGCTTTTGTAGGCCACTGTATTGGAAGAAATGCCGGCGTTCCCTGAAAGAGAGTCCTCCATCCTCGCCGTTTTGAAGAAAAAGAAACCGGGCCGCGTACCGGAGAATGAAATTAGAGAGAGCAAGAGTCCGGCGCCAAATGCTAATCATCACGCTGAAGCTCCCAGCGCTCCTCCGGTCGCGGCAGTTAACAATTCTTCCGCCGATCTACTGGGACTATCGACTCCACCTTCCTCTCAACCGTCTAGCAACACAGGCGTGTTGCTCGACGTACTGGGCGATATTTACAATATGCCAAACAAAGTTGGCGCTACCAATGGCGCACAAAATACATACAATCCTAAAAAGTAAGATACGCGATATGATCCGAGTATTAATCGATATTTAAACAGCAGCACTTAAATGTTGTTTTAACTCAACTTTTCAGGTTTGTATGCAAGAACAATGGTGTCTTGTTCGAGAATGATTTAATACAGATTGGTGTAAAGTCGGAATTTAGACAAAATCTTGGACGCATTGGTCTTTTCTATGGAAACAAAACACAGTACGCACTGCACAGTTTTCAACCGCAACTATCGTGGTCAGACGAGAATCAAGCTAAATTGGCTGTACAAGTAAAACCTGTTGATCCCATATTGGAAGCTGGTGCTCAGATCCAGCAAATGATCAATGCGGAATGCATTGATGACTATAACGGTACGTTATTTCGACGTTTTCTGCAATTTTACAAATTATTAGCAAATTACTTTATAATACTTTCCATTACGACTTACGCATAACGTACACTTTTTTTCTATTTACAGATACACCGAGCATGCTTATCTCTTTTATTTACAACAATGTGCCACAAAAAATCACAATGAAGTTACCATTAACAATTAACAAGTTCTTTGAACCGACGGAGATGAATGGAGAATCATTCTTCGCAAGATGGAAAAATCTCGGCGGGTATGTAACACGCGAAATATTTAGCAAGATGAGACATGGAATTGATTTTAACAATACTGGGTCGACTTATCGCACGTTAAATTAATTCTCAGAGCGAATCAACAACGCTCACAAAAAATTTTCAAAGCGCAACAACCGATGGATTTAACGCAAGTGCGCACGAAATTGCAAGGATTTGGGATGCAATTACTCGACGGCATCGATCCCAATCCCGATAACTTTGTCTGCGCTGGTATTGTTCACATGAGGGCGCAGCAAGTTGGCTGCCTGTTGCGTCTTGAACCTAACAAACAAGCTCAGGTAAAGGTACTCGTAACAATCGTATCAGATAACAAACGAAGTTTATGCGATTTTTTTTCACAGAATGTATTATCGACAAAATCGCACAAACGCACGTGTTGCTTATCTAATAATTATGATTACGCTATATTACTTGATTTTTAATTGCACATTCTTACTTGCAGATGTTTCGTTTAACGGTACGTTCAAGTAAAGAATCGATGTCGGTAGAGATCTGTGACCTGCTGGTGGACCAATTTTAAACGGCCTAGCAGGCGTAAATATTGTCGAGAATTTAGCACCGCGTCGTGAGAGGGCATATCGTCGAAAGAGGATATCATCTCGCGTCGTTCCAAAAGATACTGATCATTATTTGTTAAGAAATATTTGCGTTGTACCCAAGCTTACACTCACGCTCTTGTAAAAGATCTATATCTTTGTGTAGGTAGCTCCACGCCATTATATATCATTTTTATCAAAAAGGTATAAATTTCAATTGGGATTATCGAGATCAATCATGTGTATAGAAAGAACGAGGGACATGTGTGTAAAATAGCTATGAGAGACAGTATTAACTCATAATTGAAAATGATAAAGTGCAGGATTAATTTTAGATGGCTCTGTATCTTATATTGCAATCTACACTTTATAGAAATCAAGCGTGAAAACGGAACAAAGAGAGAAGAAAGGAATAATTAAATACTTTAGCTAAATAATATGCATTATAGAGCCACTCGAGCCGCATCATAGAAACAAAGTATGTATTTGAGTTTTATAATACAGGTGTTCTCCTATATATCTCTATACTAGTTTTTAATATCAGTAAATCATTATCAGATCGTTAAGAGTGAAACACTTGTTGGTATATGAACATCTCTATTATATCAATTTACATCTACGTGTTAAACTCCGTTCCTGATTTATGAGAATTATTCACATTGATATTTCACGATGAGATTGCCGCGTAAGTGAGAGTAGTTTGGGCACAATGACAGTAGTTGTATAATATTAGCTGTTTATCACTAGATACTTCTATATTTAACGGAGCTGCGAATTAATTATTGTGTAATTAGTAGTTTATATTTAATAGCTCCCTGTTTTTTTTGTTTTTTTCGGTTTTGAATATCCTAGATTTTCTATTTCATTGATGTTGATGTGTAAATCCATGGCTGGTCATTTCTACATTTGTAAAACGAGATTCCAATGAGAGATATAGTGTATTCTTAATATGTTAATTGAATTCTAAATGTTCGCAGGTTAACAATTTGTAATTTGTAGAAATACGTTTTATTATTTTCTTAGAATTTTGCGTAAGATGTATATTTCAGTAGAATGTACACTCTGTACAGATTTATGTGTTGAAGTTTTGTGAAATGCGTTTTATAATATTAACAACGGGAGCAGCTCTAAGTATGATTTAAATGTCTTTGTAATGGTCGGTGACGCGTCGCCGACTTACGAAGCTTTACACAATTGTATATATGAAATTTCAATTAATTACAAATGGCTATAAACATTTATGAGATACAGCTTACACTACTTGTAGCCATATACAAGCTCAAATTCTATTCATGATTATCGTTTATGCTTTATTTTACAAGGAAGTAAGATGTATATTCTTCATATTCATATAGTGTAAATCTATGTCTAATGTTCCCATCATATTCCTTTCTTCCTTAGAATATATATTAGCCATATTTTAATTAAGTACGGGTCGAGAGAATGCGGCGCTATCAGTTTTTTACTCCTTGATTTTTAGTACGTAATTAAATTTTATTATCCCTTTTCTTCTATTCTAAGATATATATATATATATATATATATTTTACGGTACGACAGAGTTTGGATACTTTATTCTTAGACTTACAATTGTAATCGTCGCTGAATCATAAGCAATGTAAAACGAAACTTGGGCATTTTGTATTTTTATTCCCTTTGTTATCATAGAACAGTTAAGATTTCACACAAAAATTGTTATAACAGTATAACATTTCTTTTAACCTGAATTATCTTGTAAAATTTAAACCACGTTTTTTAATAGCAGTAAGCCAAGTTGAAAATATCTATAAATTATTATTAATGTGATAATTAACTGTCTAATATCGTAATAGATTTTTTGTCTTTCGTAAGAGTGTAAGTGTAATACATGCGAAATTCGTAATTTGTAGTCTGTATGCCAATAATATATATGTTTTTTCTCATAATTTTATTTACAATTAAAAATACTAATATATATCGTAATTTTTACGCGCAATAATCAACTTTCGTCAATGAGTCTCACAGCATGCATAAGTTTCTGTTGCTTTATCGAGCTTTGTTCTTCCGAATTTTAGGCTTATCCCAAAAAACAAACTGATTAACGTAGACTCTCGACCACTGTTGATCACCAGTCATGGATTTACGAGAAAACAAATATAATATTCGATATAATTGTGTTTTAAGGCAGTCAACGAGATTTATAATAACGATATTCCTTCGTCCGCGTTTATTATAATAAAGAGAGTCATGTTGCGCTTAGATTTAAAAGGTCTACGCATGATCCAACGATTTGCGTAGCAAAAGACTATTGAAATTGCATGTCAATTGAGCTGTTACGACGTGAATACAAATACGTCAGAAAAATGTGCAAAATTCACGCAAATCGATTGATCGTGCCTGAGCCACTTTACATTCAAAATGAAAGTTACGTTAATATATACAGTACACGTATCTTCATATTATAAATACACGAATTATATATTAAGAGAAATGTGTGATGACACACAGTTGTTAGATTATTATGCGGCGATGCTCCGATCGACTGTTGATCGTGTAAAATCGAAGTCGTCGGTGTCGTTACGATTCGATATTCGAATGCAACATGCACTGAATATTCGTAATTCGAATATCTCGAATGGTACGATTCATGTAATTCATTGTTACGCCTACTGTAGAATTTACGATTATTTGGCGAACTGAATATACTTGCAAGGTCATGCAAACAGACATAATATAAAGAGAAATTGATAGATATGAAAAAAATATGCTTTATCGCGTTTTATATTTTGTATTAGCGCCGTAGAGCCTATCGCCTTCTATGTCAGAATCACTCGAATTTATTTGCCGATCATCGGGATATTCCAACATTCGGATATTCGAAACATGTAGTTTTAAGAATACTCTGAACGCGAGAGAAATTAAAGTGTCTATCGTTGCGCGGAGAATTCCTTTCGCGCCCATCACCCTGTGTCGTTGTTTCCATTTCATTGCGGTCTAATCGTGTACAGATTTAATGTAGGAATAAGATCCTCTATTGTAAGTTGATCTCCGAAGTTGATATCGGCGAGCGTAAAAAAAAGTGTGATCGCATTGTGCGAAGGATGGATCGATTGATCGGTCGATTTTAGGCTGCTTTGCAATCGCGCATGGCAGACGAGTGTATTGTACGACAATATCGTGATAGATTTCGAATTTCGTCCCCTTTGTAGTTATCGGTGCTCCTTGTGTATTTATTTCTTTGTGTAGCATATGCTAGATGAATGTTATCGCGCGTGACTTCTGACCGTCGTGACTTGAGGTTGAATTAAAATTAATGGGCATACATTGGTCTTGATCTCCTCAGCTTGATCAGCTAAGATTAACTGTTATTTGTCTTGATTCACGTCGCGGCGAGTCTTGTAACGAGAATTTTTTTTTCTAGCTATTTATATTCGGACACGTTACTCAAATACACTTAGACCTTTTATTAAAAGTTCATCATTCGTTTAGTGGTCTTTTTTTTTTTATTGTGAAAATACATCATGCAGTCTAGCGTCTTTCGAATTTCGACGTTCTAAGCAGCTCTAAGAAAGTTTTACGAAGGTTCCGTAGTTTCTACATTTAATCTTTACGCGAAAACAATCTTTAATCCCGTAGCACGCAGTCATTTTTATCTTTCTTTTTCTTCCAAGTGCCGCTCCGGTGATTCCCACGCAGAATAAATTGAGCGTTCTTTCCTGAATCATCGATTTATTTTGTTTAGTCGTTTAGTGTTCCGTATGTACATGTACGTTTGTAAAACATCATTGATTTATATCATGTGAAACAAAATATATATATATA